GTGGGTTGGGGTTCCTCGATAATTCTAAATCCACAATAAGAATTTTCTTTGTTTTCGGACAGGAAAATTTATCACTTTCCATTTTTGGAAGTCCATTACTTTTTGCTTTAGAAGGGTTCTTAAGAGTATCGTCCTCCCAAATTCTTCCTTTCTCATATTGGTATCTCACATCAATCCCCTCAGAGGGCGTCAACAGGTTTCCCTTCTCTCTCACAGTGGTATCTCACACCAATCCCCTCAGAGGCATCAACAGGCCTCCCTTCTCTCTCACAGTGGTATCTCACACCAATCCCCTCAGAGGCGTCAACAGGCCTCCTTCTCTCTTACAGTGGTATCTCACACTAATCCCCTCAGAGGCGTCAACAGGCCTCCCCTCCTTCTCATATGTTTACCATTATCGCTCAAAGGAAAACATATCTTCTTTTTTATTTCTTTTCCTTCCCTTTCCGACGTCAAACCCCTACAACTCGTAGTGTGGTCCTTAGTCTCTATCTTAACCGAAAGTCACCTGGACTTTATCAATGAGATATTCGCCAGAGCCAAGTGGGTGGTCTTCTGGACGTCACCGCGCTCTGTATCCAATTATCTATCCCGGTATCAAACTTTTATCATGTTCAGGTCTGGACAATAAAACAGGTGCTCTCTATCCAAAAACTAATGATATCTTCGAAAGATAGTTAATGGTTTATTCTTTTCCTTTCTCTTTTCCTTTCCTTTCTTTTTTTCTTTGGGGGTGGTCTAAAGCTGATGCCATTCTCGGTCAGTGCGTGGCCTGATTAACATTATCTCCCAGCTTCTGTTTCGTAGGCCACTTGACCAATTTGCAATTTTCATTATTGCCATGGGCAGATGGCTATCTTTTATTCGACGCCTCGTAACATAAATTAATTCGACAGATCCGGGATCTTACGAATTTCCTATCTTCTGCGAAATAAATACTTTTCTTCGCAAATGAAAATAAAGTCTTTACCACTTTTTTTTGTTAAAAAAATAACATCGCTCAGTATGTCTTTTCGTGATAACTTCTTATCGCCTTAATTATTTCAGCTTCTTCTCGCCTTAATTATTTCTCGCTTTTAATTTTCACGCGACCGCTAAATAGTGTCACAGTAGTATTAGATTTAATAGTATCATCAGGTGGCCAATATGGGGGGGTGCTTAATAATTGGGGAAGGTTAGAAAATCCTTTAAAAGAGAAAAAAGGGCAAAATTAATAAATGATGTGATCACGCGCTTGAAAAATTCCTAAAAAACAACACACACACACACACACACACACACACACACAAACTTATCCTTGCTATTAGGGACCCAAGAATAATTTAATTTCTGAGTTGATACCTAATAAATGTTCATTCATTTTTAATTTGCATTTCTTTTATCTTATTTATTATGCTTTTTATGTTATTGTAATAAATTTAATGCAAATGAAGCATTGTCAGTTATTATTCATTTTTCATTAGTTTTTCTTTCATCTTAGTTTCTGTTGCTTTTATCTTAACTTCCAGATCGTAAGTCTAAGATTGTTATTATTAATATCAATATTATTAATAATGACAATAGTTCATCTATGAAATTCAAACGTAATTATATTTACTACAAACAGTGTATCTTATCAAAAGAAAATAATTTTTTTTAAAAATAGAATAAATACGGTCAAAATTGACACTACTTAAAGAATTTGAATGCAATACTTTAAAATTAGTTCGGTAGATTGGAAGTAATGTTGAGCCTTTTAAGTACTGGCCGTTTGATCTGCAATGGAGTCGAAAGAGAGAATGGCGTGATGCTAAAGAAGAATCAGCTACAATAGTTGCAGTTGCTTGAATCTATGATTGTTGATGCTTTTGAATGCCATCAGGCAAACGAAATCGTTTCGTGTCGTTAATTCTCGCCCAGTTTAATAGACGTAGTGGGAAAAGGACAATTCACGCAGCTGCTGTTTGTGCAATAGGACTTAGAGAGAAACTATTTCAATAGATCATAATTCATATTTCGTTTGCAGAAAGCATCTTCCCATTTAATCCAGCAGCATTAACTGGTGTTGTCCGGGCCTATTCAACGATTTGAGCAAAGAAAATCTATTAAAGGAATGGCAATAGTTAAAAAGACTTTGTAGGAAAACATGGCTTGTGCCTGTCATGGAGCTGTCGATGGCCAGCTAGTCATGTATGCGACATTGCTCGCGTTATGACTCCGATTCTCGTTGGGTATTTCAATTTTGAATATTTTATAGAATAAAGATATAACGGTATTGATTGATTTCTTTTTTGTTGGGTATTTAAAGCCGAAAGATATTTTGGATTATAATTTTCTTTTTGTGAGTAAATATTGCATTAACAAGGTTTTGAAAATAATAATGTTATTTTCGGATACAAGTCCTACTATTTAACCCATAGTCAGGGAGAAGAGATGGATTTTTACCTTTTTGAAGGGCATTTCCGGGTAAGTGAATATAACAAACTCGACTCTATATGAAGGTAAGGATATTATATTTGAGCATTGTCGCTTTAATGATTGAAACAACAATTTTAAATAGCCTTGATTGATCATGCATGCAAAAATTGAAATATAACTTTTGGGACTAATAAGAATTAATTTTTAAAACAAAATTTAACTATAAAGATTACACGTACCTCTTTGGGTTTGAAAAATCTTTAATCAGAATTAAGATGAAAAGCAGCTTCTAAAAACGAATGAATCAATCATGAATACATTGACTCTCCATTTTATTTTATTTAAATTGGCCAGAAAAATATTTTCCTCGTCCATAACAACGCGAGGCTAAATAAAGCAAGAACTGTTATATACTGTACCTATGAACACAAATGAGTATGTCCCAATCCTCATAAATACGTTGGACACTATTGTAAGTTGGGGCAATATGCTGTCTAAGTAGTCCATCACTAGCAGTGGTTTACCTACGTCACGCCGCTGGCGAGTATTGTATTTTGTTGATGTTATAAAGATTATCATTTCATTTCCAACCTCCGTTTTGGTTATTCCTTTTTAATTAACCCTCTCTAGGTTGCACTTTCTTTCTTTCTTTCTTTCTTTCTTTCTTTCTTTCTTTCTTTCTTTCTTTTATATACTGTACCTATGAACATTAATGTTGTGTCCCAGTCCTCATAAATACGATAGTCTTGCGGTGTTGCATCAGTAGGAAAAAAAGCAGCAGATAAGCCATCCCCATATTTTAAATTTTATTAGTTTGTTATATATGTACCTATTAACACTAATGGGTGTGTTCCAATCCTCATAAATACGTTGGATACTATTGTCAGTTGGGGTTATGTGCTAAGTAGTCCACCACTAGCAGTGGTTTACCTAGTTCACGCCACTGACGAGTATTGCATTTTGTTAATGATATAAAGCTTACCATTTCATTTCCAACCTCCTTTTTGATTATTCCTCATTCAATGACCCTTTCTAGGTTACAACAAGAATAAAACGGGAAAAATTCTGGAGCATCGGCTGGTCTGAAAATCAGATTGCTTCGTTTCTTACGGCTTATCAACACATTGCAGATTATTTAAAGCCAGAAAATATTTCTAAATTGTTTGAATTTGGTTGTGGGGGGGATAGTAATGATTTACTGATATATGTCCTATTAATTAACTCTTAGCTGGGGGAACAGGTGGGTTCATACCTTTCTCAGGCCTATTTGCGCGTAAGTAAATATAACAAACCTGACTGGAATTGGAACTCGGACTTGTTAACCGTAACCCTTTACACTACACGAACATCCAAGCTTGTAGCACATGGTATTCCCAAGTGGTAAACCATCTAGATACTGACCAGACTCGACGTCGCTTAACTTCGATGATCCTAATCTTCAGGCATTGAAGCGTAAAACAGACAGTCGCTGCATAGTGTTGTAATGAGCACTGTTACCTATAATATAACTTAAAATTATATTTTTATTATATATATATATATATATATATATATATACTACTCTGAATCGTACTCAAGAAGAGAGAGCAAGATCTAAAAAGTCAGCCAATCTAACAGTAACCTCATTCCACAATTCTCACACTTGCTCCATATGCGGACTCCTTTTGCAAATCACTAGCGGGACTTAAGTGTTACTAAAGATTATCGCACAAAATTCATAACTGTATCAGTTGGTTAAGTTGTCTGGTCCTCACACGACGAAACAAACGGGAGATTCCATTATATATATATATATATATATATATATATATATATATATATATATATATATTAAATACGCGGTACTTATTAGAAAGTGCTCAATACTGCGAACTGTAGATTTTTACTCCATCTGGTCTTTCTCTTGTATATATATATATAGTGTGTGTGTGTGTGTGTGTGACGGCGGTTTGTCATTGATATTTTGCAAAATGAGTTTCGGTAAACGAGAGAGCAGTTTAGTTTTTTTTAATGATTTTTAGAATAATTTTTATAGCAGCAATCATATCGTTTGACGTATGATTTTTATGAGAATATTTGTTTAATTTTCCTAATATTTAAACGATGCAATAACCTCTGAAAATGATGCTTAGTGCTAAGCATATATAACGATCGATATTGGGCCAACAGAAAGTTAATCGATTCAAGAAAAAAAATCATCGTCGATAAATTGTCCGCCATTGGTTCGCTGACGATTTGTTTTTATGAAAAACGGATGAAAAGAAGTGAAAATCTACACGGATTTATTTCAAACCTCAAATGAATACAAGAAATACTATAAACTTTGCAAAAAAAAATAAAAAATAAAAATAACATACTATGTTGACAAAGAAATAGTGGATATTATTGAATTTATATAAACGTCGAAATTAGAATCTGACAGGATAAAGCTTCGGATAGAAAAATAACGCGTGAGATTGTGTTCTCGTCATAGCCTCACTGTGAGGTCAAAAATTGTATTCTCGTTGTGGTCTCATTGGGAAATCAAAAACTGTATTCTCGTTGTGGTCTCATTGGGAAATCAAAAACTGTCTTCTCGTTGTGGTCTCATTGGGAAATCAAAAATGTCTTCTCGTTGTGGTCACATTGGGAAATTAAAAACTGTCCTCTCGTTGTGGTTTCATTGGGAAATCAAAAACTGTCTTCTCGTTGTGGTCTCATTAGGAAATCAAAAACTGTCTTCTCGTGGTCTCATTGGGAAATCAAAAACTGTCTTCTCGTTGTGGTCCCATTGGGAGATCAAAAACTGTCTTCTCGTTGTCGTCACATTTGGAGATCAAAAACTGTCTTCTCCTCGTGACCTTACAGGTAACTGAAAAGGTGTCATTTTGACATGGCCTCGTCATAGGCTTTGATCAGTATTGTCTCAACATTCACCAATCGTGAGTTGAGCCTGATAATGCATTTATGGACTTCGTCTATGTGATGTAGGCGAACGTGGTTCTCTAAAATTTGATCTCCTTTGTCGCTCTTAATAATTTTTTTTTTATTATTTCTCCTAAAACTTCTTCTGCCATCTATTTACTCAAGCTCACTAAGTTATGCATTGTTTGCCTCTGTTCATCTTGCATTCAATCTGTCATGTCAGTGTAAACACATTATGTACCCTACAAATTTGAACTGTCTCTTCCTGATGTTAAGTAAATGTTTCCTTTTTGTTTCCATTTCTCTAAAACGTCGATGTTGCTCATATGTTCGGTCCATTGTATTCTCAATATCCTTCTGCAGAACCACACTTCTGTTGCCTCTAGTCTCCTCTTCAGCATTCACTGTCATACAAGACGACTGATATTACGGTACAGTTCAGCACTATTAACATTTTCTAAGATTTTTCCTTTTTCTTGATACTTTGCTTAGCTTTTGGAATACATTCTTGGTCGTACTTCCCGTCACCTGTTAAAAGCACGTTAAGTTTAATCAGGTAAACATTTTTTTTTTGGTACCAGATCACATGCCATAATGTTTTGTTTTCACTGCTTGATGACGCCAAATCTAAATTCATTTGGAGCAGAAATATTTTCGCCACATTTTAAGTTAAATTTACATTAAAAAATCTTGCATTAAAAATGACTTTTTTTAAATTATTAATACTATTAATAACATAATAATATTGTTATTTAGTAATGATAATATAATATAATTTATATAATAGTTATATAAATTATTTAGATTTAATTATCATATCAGCTTTTCACTTTTATTGCCTCTTTTGTTTAATTATCAGTTGACACTTATTTACTCAATTGATTTGATATTTTTCTTTTAATATGTTATCTAACGATGATATCACTTAATATTAATTACTTTATACCCTTAATTTTTTAATTTGAAGTGTAGATTTTTCCTTTTCAATTTGATCTTTCTCTTTTATTGGTTTTTATATAAAATAAAAAAAGATTCTATGAATTTTTATTTCTTTGTAGGAGGGACGGTGGATAGCGGCTCGGATTGAGGAATCGGAGACCGAGTTCGAATTCCAGTCGAATCCATTACATTCACTTACGTGCTAATATTCTTGGGAATGGTACGCACCCTCTTCTTCTCCCCCCCCAGTAGTAGGACTGACTGGGTTCTATAGACTTGGATGGCAACTATTCTACCGCAGAAAGACCCTACTGCGGAAAAAAAATCTGCTTCGTCAGTCATGTATCTGAAAAATACATGATCGTATAAGCTTTTACCATGCATGGCACATGACTGACTGAGTGAGATGGTAATGGTTTAATACATGTTGTTTTAAATGAAGAATATTAAATGTTATATTTCCTAATAAGAAAATAATTAAATCATTATATACGGTGACCCAGAAAAACGGGAATTTTTTAAGTACGTATTGCCAGACATGAGCAAGTGGTAACACTGCGAGACAGTGACCTTGAGCAAGTAAACATTTCGCCATTTAGAATTCTAAAATGAAATTCACAGTATCCCAGTTGAGATGTTGCAGCAGTCAATGAGGAATTTCAACAACAGATTTCAAGAATGCATTCGTACAGGAGGACGCCATCTATAGGACGTAATTTTTAAAAAATGAAAATTCCATCATTGTTTCTTAAATGGCATCTTTTAAGGTTTCAATTACTACGAATAAAATATTTTTCTTCCATCACTCTTGGTTTTATTGGATTGTTAAACAGTTCCCGGTTTTTTTGGGTCACCCTGTATATTAAAAAAAATACTTTTCTAATATTCTAATATAATTACTTCTGGAATGATTACTATTTAATATAATTATATAATTATTTCTCTTAATATTGAATTAATAGTAATTTGTTAATATAAGATTTTAAAATATTTTTCCCTATTTTTCAACTAAATTTTTTCTCATTACAATAGAGATTAATATTCTAATTTAATTCAGGTAACGACGCCATTTTATATCACCTCCCACTAATCCTCATGTCTAGGCAGTACTACTCTCTCTACTCTCTTGTTTCTCACTTCTTTCCCTACCTATCTTGTTTCTTCCTGTTTCTTCTGCTCTTTCTTTTTTCCCCTTTTTTTTTCTTTGACTTTATCTGGCTTGTAAAATTCGTTTTAAGACAGTTTCATTTTATTTTTCTTGTTAACATGACCGCTTTGAAAATCCTTATAAATTATCTTAATTTGCAGGGGTGCGGATATGATCATAACAAATACGTATTCTTAATTCCCATGGTATGTAATATATATATATATATATATATATATATATATATATATATATATATATATATATATATATATATATATATATATTTATTTTTGAAGCCTAAACACAAAATACTGGTGAAAAAATACTGTTACTCTTTTTTTTTTCAATTTACGTTAAGATTCGTTTAATATATATATATATATATGTGTGTGTGTGTGTGTGTGTGTAATTTATATGCTCTGTTCAAATAAAACATTAAGCACTATATGTGAATCAGTTTTGATACAGTGTAACCCGGATATAAGAGAGTTGTCGGGACCGGAGAAGTCTCTTATATCCGGGTTTCTCTTATATCCGGGTTTGGTCTATTTTATATACATTAACACAGGCTCTCATTTGGGACCAGAGAACGTCTCTCTTATCCGGGTTTCTCTTATATCCGGGTTACACTGTATTTAATATTTAATATTATATTAATCGTATTCACTTGGATTATATACTAACGTATGATTACCTATATATATATATATATATATATATATATATATATATATATATAGTTGGATTGATGTGAGTTTGTGACTCTGCGTTTCACGCTTTCTGCGATCGTCAGACAAACTCTTTGATTTTAGTTTGTCTGACGAGCGCAGAGAGAGTGAAAACTTGTATCACAAACTCGCATCAACACAACTAAATATGTTAGCCCTATCACTGATATTGAGCGCTTTCCAATAAGTACCGCGCATATATAATATATCAATAATATATATAAAATTGCACACACACACACACACACATATATATATATATATATATATATATATATATATATATATATATTTATATATATATATACATATATTTTTACACACACATACACAAACACACACACTCACATATATATATATATATATATATATATATATATATATATATATATTCTAATGAAACTCTAGCGTGTAAAGAATTAACATTTCTAGTTAGAATTATCATCAGATTAATAGAAGATATGATAATCTGTTCAAAATTTTTATTAAACATCCGGCATTGATGAGTCTTTCGACACGAAATACTTGAGTCGGCTGACCACATAATTCCTTTGAACTTTTCTTAACGTCTTGATTATTTTTATTAACATATAAAATTTTAATAATATATAGATATATTAAATATTAACAATATATATATTATTATTAACAATAATAATAAATATTAATAATTAAAATATTAATAATATACTGAATGTTTTAGATTACAAACACCATATTCAAATGAAGTTTCTTTTCCATACTGACTTTTATTTATAGGAAATCACAAGTAAAAAATGTTCCAATTATCCCTGCTATCGACATAGTATCAATTCTGGTTGCCGAAGAGCATGAAATTAAAAGGATATAAAATGCTGCTGTAGTGAGTTTGATACTCAATGGGTGCCCTACTAATTTAGCCTTGTGCCAAACAATTAAATAGAGTAATGATCTCAGGAGCTGGGTCAAACATATATCAGTCTTCATTTATATGCGTGTAGTTAACACTGAGTTTGATTCTTACAGAGTGCTTCACGACTGTAGCCTTTTGCCAGACTAAATCAACGGGTATATAGAGCTAGCCGACAATCAATCACTATTTATCAATCAACGAAAAGATAAGGCCGACAGAAAATTACACACACAGAGACACACACCCACAGATCTCGCTCTCTCTCTCTCTCTCTCTCTATATATATATATATATATATATATATATATATATATATATGTAAGCAAATATATGGATATAGATCCGACAGTATGAATAAAAATATACAGAAAAAACAAACAAAAATCCTAATATGCGATTATGCTGTTTTAATGTTTAATGTCAACGTCGGTCGCATTCCTAAAATTTGAGTATTTTGAATGAAAAACGAAAAGAATTTTATTTTGATCTAAAACTTATATGTACGTTTGTCGAGCATTAATCTTGCTAGAAAAGGGGAAATATTAAAGAAGCCAGGTCTAGTGTTCTCAAAATACTCAAATTTTAGGAATACGTTTTCACAACATCGCCCACGTGATGACGACGTGATCATATTTAAACGGAACGCTGATCTTATAAAAGATTTCAGTTATCTGTTTGGATTGGTATTGCTTTTATGTCCATCGTCTTTTTCATGTTGAATTGTATATGGTCTATGTTAATTATGTTTTATGAATATGTCCTGAAGATGGTCTATTAGACCGAAACGTCCGACGTTGACATTAAACATTAAAACAGCATAATCGCATATTAGGATTTTTGTTTGTTTTTTCTGTATATTTTTCTTCATACATGACCGAGGGTTTGAGCTGGCCTGGTTCAGTTTGTTCATCACGCCAGGTAATGCGTTATACCCCCAGAAACTGTAACTAACGTCCGCTCATCATAGTTGCAGTATAAACAACAGGTGGGACCTGTGAGTGTTGAAAAAACACAGATATACCTGAGCAGACGTCTTCAAAAGGGATTGGGTAGCCGCCCTAGTAGACGGGCGTCCTCGGATACGAGTGGCCGGCCATTATGAATTGGAGCGCTCTGACTGATTGGCGTTTGTTTACATTCGTAAAAAAAATACGCTAGAATTAGCTGCTTCTCTCTGGTGAATGAGGATAGCTCAGTTGTAGAAACTCTGACTGACACCAAATCAGCCGAGTTTCGGTCGTGGTTTGAAGCATTCAGATGTCTAGTCGCACCGAGGAGCTGTGATACAGCAAAACGGTATTGTCTGAGAATGGCATATATATATATATACGGTGACCCCCAAAAAACGGGAACTTTTTAATACTCCAATAAAACCAAGACTGATGGAAGAAAGATATTTTATTGATAGTAATTGAAACTTTAAAAGATGCGATTTAAGAAACAATGATGGGATTTTCATTTTTTAAAAGTTACGTCCTGTAGATGGCATCCTCCTGTACGAATGCATTCTTGAAATCTGCTGTTGAAATTCCTCATTGACTGCTGCAACATCTCAGCTGGGATACTGTGATTTTCATCTTGAATTCTACATGGCGAAATGTTTACTTGCTCAAGGTCACTGTCTGAGAGTGTTGCCACTTGCTCATGTCTGGCAATATGCACTTCAAAAACTCCTGTTTTTTGGGTCACCCTGTATATATATATATATATATATATATAATTGTATGCATGTGTGTGGTGAGTATGTATGTCCCCCAACTATACACCTGCGAGAGATGAATTGTGTACCGCAGACATTTAGAGCACGTGGAAAGATTGCCCCAAAGCTATTTAAGATCAATTCTTCGTACCCACAGGTTATCTAACACGACAGACAATGTGGTCATCGAAAAGGACGATGCAACGAGCACGGAAGTGCACATTCATCACCACAGACTGCGATGGACGGTCCATCTTATTCGCCTTGATGCCAGCAGAATACCCAATGAATTCATCAACTTATATGTTTTGATTGCAACAGAGTAGGCCTCTACAATGCAGACCACGGTAGCTACAAGAAGACATGTTGGTAGACCTTTGACAAATTACAGTCAATACTACGCTAGGAATAACTTAACATGCAATGATTGTCAAAAGTCCAGCAGAGAACCGCCCCGGTCTCACCCATCACAAAAGTATCCGGACAGAATTTACAAAACAAGCTAGACTCTGTACAGAACAACTTAGTTTGCCACGCCACCAATAAGCATTGCAGTTCACTTACTCGCTTCAAGAGCTATTGTTGCTCTCACGTGGAATAAAAATTTGGATCAAAATGATAAGAGATGGTCATATTCAATTAACGAGTCGACAGGTATCATATATCCCCCAGCTATGAGTTAAATATCCCAACAAACTGGGTCCTTTAACTTTGGCTGCCAAGCTATCTATAAGAAAGACAACACTGTATTCAAATTGTGAGGAGGGCTCTCACACCAGTTCTCTGTATTCGGTTCTCTGAAAAGTGTAATTCGTTCTGCACAACCCTACTCTAATATAATCAAAATGATATGTGCTGTTCAGCTCTATACCTGAGCTGGTGGAGCCTCATTCGTTCAAGACATTTTGATTGAATGATTGTGTCGATTTCTACGGCTTATCAACAGGTTATTTAAAAATAGAATATTTTTTTTTACATAATGATTTACTGATAGACTTCTTGCTAATTAACCCATATCTGGAGGAGAAAAGCTGTATTCTTAGCTTTGCCAAGGTTATTTGCGAATAAGTAAATATAAACCCAACTGTAATCGGAACAATTGCCAATTTCGAGCCATTACATCACCTGCAGATCCAAGGTTGGGAATATCTGGGTATTTCTATCTATGTACTGACCAGACTCGATGTTCCTTAACTTAGATGATCGTACGGGACCGATGTTTCAAAGTGATATGGGCGTAAGCTCTTGTTGATATATATATATATAATGTATTGGGGCACAGATCATTATTCAAACATATATATTGTTAAATATAACAGTCAACGAATGTCCATTATATTTGATCATGAGAAAATAAAGACAAAAATAGTCCAACATGTGAGCCGAAAGCTTATATCGAGAAACAGCATAATAAAAAAAAAATAGCTTTACTTTCTCCCGTAACTAAAGCCACAATACGAAGCTTAGAACGTAATAGACATTCGTTTTCTGTTATATTTAACAATATATATATATATATATATATATATATATATATATATATATATATATATATATATATATATTCCAAACTATATAGTTGATGAACAAATAAGAACTTTCTTAGAAGTCTCAATACTAATAGAACATAATACTACTTCAACTAATCCTAAACATATTAATCTCTTATATCGTAGTCAAATGCATATTAATTATAAACAAGATGAAAATATACTAAAAAAATTAGTAAGTACTAATATATCTACAACAGATCCTAGCAAAAAATTAGGTTAATCATATACTACACTAAATCTAGTAAATCCAACTTAATTATTCGCAATGATTCTTACCCCGCACCACACCGTTAGTTATTTGCAAAATACCAACATAGTTTACAAAATAAAGTGCCATTTGGGAAATGGAATCTCCAATGGATTAAATAATATTTATGTTGGTCACACCACAAACTCGCTTCACGAAGCTTGAATCTACATTTGTATGATAACTCTAACATTTTTAGGCATTTAAAAGAACATGCCTAGCCGCGTACACAATAAACAAAAACTAAAAATTCTTGAAGCTATATACATAAAACAGTTGAAACCTAACCTGAACCAAATAAACTATGAAATCTCCACAAATATTCCTGTAACTGATAACAGAAGCCATTGGTTTATACAAATGGCTTCCCATACTTAATACTTCTCGTTATCACTCTCGCGTGGTCATGTGTGACGTCTCGAGCTGCCATGCGATTTTCGCTTCCACGTCTCGTACACACGAGTTTGTCGTTGTTTTGAAATTTTTCATGCAACAAAAACAGACTATCATTATTGTTTTGTCAGTGTATTGTTTGATATATTGAAATGTAATTGTCATCTTTGCTAATGTAAGCCGCAAGCTTAGATAGGATTAAAATATGTATCAATAGGGTGATTACCTTTCATCTTTAAATGATAATGTTATTAAGCTTATCAGACAATATGAAAGAACTTAAAATAAATAGACAAAACTTCTCTATATTATTTAATGAAACATGCATATATATATATATATATATATATATATATATATATATATACAGGTTCGGAGGAGGAATATATATATATATAGGATACAGGTTCGGAGGAGGAATATTTTCTGTGAAAATTTCTCGGACATTCAGGCCGGTAAATGTTGTTTAATACTGTTTATTATAAACAGAGAATTTACTGAAATATTTGAATCTATAAAAAGAATGTATAAACATAAAAATGTCTTAAAATAATTGTCGGACTTTGTCCATTTCATAATGTGTGACGTCATTTGTTTACATTTGATACGCCATGAGCAGACATGAATGTACGTGAGAGATTCATGGAAGATTGAAGTTTAAATACAGTAAATTCGACCTTGCTAACCGAACACTCCTTCGTGGCCAAATCGGTAAAGGAAAGTCAAGCTAAATGACGGTTCCGTACAGTTTCGAATCCTGTCGGAGGACACATATTTTCTATGAAAATTTCTCGGCTGGTAAATGTTGTTTATTATAAACAGAGCATTTTCTTAAATATTTGTATCTATAAAAAGAAAGTATAAACATAAAAATGTCTTATACTTCATCTTAATAAGCTTATGTTTACGTTGTTGTGACTACACATATTATTTCTTCTGAATTTAAAATTCCCAGCGTCTCTCGTTCGTGCGCATACGTAGTAGTATCAACGTAAATAAAGTTTGAATATATTGAAACCCTTGAAATGAATGCTTTTTCCACTTATACTTCTTACCTATATATGTATGTATATATATAAAAATATATAAAGATATATATATATAAATAATATATATATATATATGTATATATATATATATATATATATATATATATGTATGTATGTGTATATATATATATATATATATATATGTATGTATGTATGTGTGTGTGTATGTGAGTGTGTGTAATTGTGTATTCAGGCAGCAGCAATCCCTATTTTATACTGGTTTAAAGATGACTGAAAATGTACAACAATTAATATTTTATTATTCTTGAATTTCAAGAAATAACTTGATATAATCAAAAGCTTATTTAATAGTTTTCTATTATCCTCTCTCTCTCTCTCTCTCTCTATATATATATATATATATATATATATATATATATATATATATATATATATATATATATGAAGATGAAACAGAACTGATACTTTTTTAATTAATTTACATAATTAAATTTGAAGTTTTTAGCTTCGGTTTTTGAAACATGGTTATTCCTGTGTAGCGAAGGAACCATATTTTTATATCATTTAATTTATAATATTTATGCTCTGTACATTTACATTGATCGCTGTTTTGTAAAAATAAAAAAAATATCAATAAGAACACCGGATTATATATCTTACTGTTCTTTTTTTTTACTATAATATATATATATATATATAATTATAGATAACTAGATTTGTTTCGAAAAACCCTCGAATTTTTGATTTGCTAATAATCAAATCTATCTCGAGCCTTACTTTCCCTGACGATCCGTTTAGGTGAAACCTAGGTAGGTTTGTCTGGCTCACTAGGTGTATCTATCTATCTATCTATCTATCTATCTATCTATCTATATATATGTTTGGATTGATGTGAGTTTGTGACCCTGGGTTTCACGCTTTTGCGATCGTCAGACAAACTGATTAATTTTTTAAAATTTAGGGTTTATGTAGATTGGTGTTATTACGGAAGTGGGGGGGGGCGTCGTCGTGATGTCACTCATGCTAACGTGAACATAGATGCATGTCCGTACACCCGTTGAGGTACGCAGACACACATATACACTCGCTCGTTTATGCATATTTACATCTATATACACACACTTTACACACACACACACACACAGACACACACACATATATATGTATGTGTGTGTGTGCGTGTATGTTGGGGGTTGTGTGTGTGTGTGTGGTGTCTGTGTGTTCGAAAAAGGAATCAAGGGAAAACCGCGAATTTATGTAGCATGAAAACTCATAAAAAATTCTTCCTGAAATAGATCTATGAAAGTAACGTCGCTATAACTAAAAAGTAAATAAAAAAATTAAAACGACTTGGTCCGTCTGACGGGTGAATAGAGGCAAATGCCAGGTAGCAGGTTTCGAATTTTAGTGAGGGAAAGGATTGTTCTGTTGTCTGCATACCGCTGGGAAAGCCCACTTGCTTCAGATGCTACACGCGATCCCACTACTATGGCTAGTACGCTGCTTTTGCTACTTGTACTGTTGATCAACATCGCAGCAAAGAACGTCTCTGCAGTTAGCGCTCCAGTGAACACCGTATGACTTGTCATTATGAAATCGGATTCTTCATCTCTGTTTATAAAACATGCACGTACAGAAACACACACACACACAGATACAGGCAGACGCACAAACACACACATACCGTTCTGGGTATGACGATAAACTACATCCGTGTCCTGTGTAAGACGATAAACTACATCCAACAGCAAGGCCTCTAATAAGGAGGTTTTGAGGAACGTGGAACCACCTCTTAATTGCTGGTGTTACCAGGTCCACCCTGTCCCGGGGTGGTAGCACCTGTTAGGGTCCCAGCTATGGGTAAATAGTTAAGACTCAAACTGGGGTCAAAGCTCTATGAAAGTGTAAAAATACGTTTTAATAACAGAAATACTTTGCAAAAAAGTTATTACCAGCAATATTTTTTAAGAAAAAAAATTATTAGCAGTAATACATTTTTGAAAAACAAATATTGCAAGCAATACAATTTTGAAAAAAAAAATATTACCAAAAATAGATTTTTGAAGAAAAAAAAATTACCAGCAATACATTTGAAAAAAAAATACCGGCAATAAAAATGTTGTCGGCATTAAATAACCCATTGAGGTTGATATGCAGTAAAACAAAATAAACCAAATCAATCTAAACCAAAGAATACATATTCTATTCATACGAATCTAATCTAAAAATGTTGTCAGCATTAAATAACCCATTTAGGTTGATATGACGTAAAACAAAATAAACCAAACCAATCTAAACCAAAGAATACATATTCTATTCATATGAATCTATCAAAAAAATCTTGTCGTCATTAAATAACCCATTGAGGTTGATATGCCGTAAAACAAAACAAAGAAAGAACAATGAATTTTTGAAGAAAAAATTATTACCAGCAATATATTATTACTACCAATACATTTTTGAAAAAAAATTAGCACCAATACATTTTTGAAAATAAATATTAACAGCAATAAAAATCTCGTCGGCATTAAATAAATCATTGAGGTTGATATGCCGTAAAACAAAACAAACCAAACCAAACACATATGTATGTTGTTAGTTTTGGAACGTTTGGTTTAAGTCCCAAATCCTTATCGGCAATTCCATGATTTTATCATCAACCTGAGTTCCAGTTTAGTATTTAAATATTTTCATTATTTACAAAAGAAATTTTCAAAGTACTTGTCAATGTTCGTTGGTAACAAAGAAAAGAGTGCTGAACAGCTATGTGATATCTGCTCACCCCTTTACAGCATCAGATGTTGAACGTTTCCAACAAAGATGAAGAAGAGACTCAAGGCAATGGAGGTATGGTTCTACAGAAGAATACTAAGGATACCATGAACCGCACATTTGAGCAACGCTGAGATATTCTAGAGTTAGGAAAACAAGGAGGAAGCTTGTACTTAACATCAGGAAGAGGCAGCTTGAATTTTTGGGACATGTAATAAGAAAGGAGGGCTTGGAGAATCTGATACTCACAGGGCGGATAGAGGGAAAGAGAGACATAGGAAGGTAACGCGTGACATGGTAGAGGGCTTATGCGAGTGGATGATAGAACATGGTTTGAGAGAGGTGGCAAAAGGACAAGGCATATTGAGAGCTACAAGGGATGGGGGAAGTGGAGAGCCATGATCATCGACGTCTTGAAAGGACACGGCATATAAAAGAAGAATATATATATATATATAAATATATATATATATATATATAGAGAGAGAGAGATAGATAGATAGAGAGAGAGATAGATAGATAGGATAGATAGATAGATATAAGGTGTTTCATTAAGACGGATCAAAGTCAGCAGTAAATAAATCAGTGTTATTGATGAAAATGTATTTATTTCTCTATTGGATCATGTTATTTAAGTCATGGCAATTATGTGTGAAAAATAATATCGCCCAAATGTCCGCCAAGGCTTCAGCGGCACACCTCGACTCGATGGTCAAAATTTTTGATGATGTCTCTGTATAGTTGCTCCTCGATCTCACCAATTTGAATTGTTGTTGGCTTCTTGGTATAGACCTTACTTTTGAGATGATCCCAAAGGAAGAAATCTAAAGGCGTCAAGTTGCACGATCGTGGTGGCCAATTGACTTCGCTGTTTCGGGAGATGATGAGAACTAGGAACTTCTTATTCAAATTCTGTTTGAACGTCCATTTTCGTAATAGGCTTCGATAACTTTAACATTGTGTGATTGTTAATTTTTCCATGGTTGAAATTTCCAAATACTTAAGTTGTTAAATATGAAAGAAAAAAAAAAAAAAATCATTAGTCGCTTAAGCTTAATTCATATTTCAAATCGGTCCAAGTTATTGAACACATATATATATATATATATATATATATATATATATATATATATATATGTATATATATATATATATATATATATATGTATGTGTATATATTATATATAATAGATCAGTATTTCTTAATGATCATTACTAAATATACGTTTAATAAATATTTCTTGATGATTAATTAGGGCTGAAGAGTTTTTTGTGTGGCGATTAAATAGTGGTGCGAATATGCAAAGCTGTGAGCCAAGAAAAATATTACATATTTATGGAAAACTCGCTGTGAGGCATGGTTTTAATTTAGCACACACACACACACACACACACACACACACACACACACACACACACACACACACACACACACACACACACACACAGAATATCTTTGTCATATATATATATATATATGTAAATGATGACAAAGGTATTCTTCCTGCATTTTTAATGTTTTTTTGTTTATTTCTATAAGGACAGGATAATCAATATAATTATTCTCTCTCTCTCTTTAACTATATATATATATATATATATATATATATATATATATATATATATATATATATATATATATATATATATTAAATACGAACATCATTCTACACAGATTCAATTTTACAATGTCAAATTGACATTATTTCTTCGGAAAGATAATTGAGTGGTTTCTCATTGTCTTCTTCACGGTTTTTTGAAGTCCATATCCTAGACTGTCTACCAATCAAAGCTAGAGAGCTCAGTCTACCCTGCCATTTAACCCATACCTGAAGAGATTAATTCACGGATTTCCTAACGAAGGTTGTGCGAAAGCGAATGCAACAAACTAGTCGTAAATGAACACACACACAAACACACACACACATATATATATATATGTGTGTGTATGTGCGTGTATAGCCTAGTTAGGCTCAAGGCTTTAAACGTATCAATGTTCTGTAGCAATTGTAAGTTAGTTAACGCAAGCCTCACAGCGTGGTTGACTTAGATAAAATATATACTTATTTGCATATGTATATATTGTTCTTGGGCTATAGCTTTGCATATATGCACCACTGCTGCATTGCCACACACACACACAAAACCTCTTTAGCCATAAATTAATTTATCTTTTTGTAAATATTTATTAAAAGTACACTTAGTAACGATCACTAAGAAATACTGATCATATATACATTAGAAAACACACACACGCACGCATATATATATATATATATATATATATATATATATATATATATATATATATATATATATTTGTTTTTGTTTTTTTTCCCCCTCTTTTTGCTCTTCATTGTCGTTAATATTCTTTTCGTTGATCCAACGATTGTCTCCTGATGAGATGTTGGTTGAAAGGGACTTAGGGACTTTTAAAATTAAAATCAATACATTCCTTGTTTTTAAAACTATATATATATATATATATATATATATATATATATATATATATATATAGATAGATATAGATAGATAGATAGATAGATATACATAAAAATGTTAATGGTCAGCGTTGAATCAGATCAGGAAAAAGCGGTATTAAAAAAGTGCTTAAAAATAAAATAAAAGTAAAAATAACTGGTAGAACTTTTAACTTTAGATATCAGGAGGTCATTGAATCTGCTGCCTTGGTTTCAAACTTACCGCGTCCTCAGGTAATTTTTTGATAAATGACAATAAAACCTTGTTTTTTTTTTTATTAAGTTTAGAGCATTTTTTCCATCATGCTATGCTGTTTTTTCAGCGAAAAAGTGGAGGTACCTAAACTGTATTCAATTTCTTATTCACGCAAGGATACAAAGGTCACTTTAAAATTAAGACCAAAGAGACTGAAAGATAAACACGCTTCATAAACACATAGATACATTTTATATATTCATGTCTTCTCTTTCCCTCCTTGATGGCATCAGCTGAATGATAATGACTGATCGATCTAATAACTACGTAACACGCACTTATGTGGGAATTAAGAGAAATCAAGACATTGTACGACGCCTTGTGTGTATGGAACTCCCTATTCAAATACGAAATTTCTAAGACGAGACGGACAACACGCTATA